AGAGAGAGAGAGAGAGAGAGACGAGCGTAATAATTAAACGTTTCGAGAAGCACAGGACGGAATATGAAATCGCGCGATGCTTCTCAGTTTGCAGAGGATGTATAGTGAGACGGTTGAGCAGCGGTGCCAGAGCGTGTCCCGTGTGCAACGTCGCAACGTCTCCGCCGCTCCTGCCGGACGTAAAGCTGCAACGACTGGTCTATCTCGTGGTACCGGGCCTCTTCCGCTCGGAGCTCGAACGAAGGCGTCACTTCCGGCTGGTCAATCCGCAATGCCCACCTTTGGCCCTGCCGTTGGGCGCACTCGACTTAACTTTGGACGATTTCGTCAGCCTGAGTCTGTGCGAGCTCGACGAGCCGGAAGAGAAGGCGGTCGCTCACGAGCCGGAAAACCGTGCCGGCTCACGACACCGATCGACCAACAATAACAACAACAACAACAACGCCGATCAAACGAGACACGAGGACGCGATCAAAGTTAAGAGCACGCGGTATCTCAAATGTCCGGCAGGAGTGACGGTCCGACACCTGGTGCGACTGCTGATGCTGAAGAGAGGGTGGGAGGAGGCGAATTCTCACGGGTCGAGCGTCAACAACAAGATCGAGATGCTCTGCGAGAAGTGCAACGAAAATCGTCGCGGTGGCGCGAGAACGATGATACTGGACCAAGCTTGGACGTTGCTGGACCTCGCCTGCATATTCGGCTGGAAAAGAGTGAGTTTCTTTTACCCTGTTGTTTTAGTTTAGCGAATCTCGTCGAAGATTCACCTCTTTTCCCTTCTATCCCGTTTTCGCTCGTAATCCTTCGCTCGCAGTCGCGCGGCAAAGATCGATCATTGTTTGCCTCGCGATAATTTGAATCACTTCCTATTGCGTCAGTCGGCCGCGTACGATGATGATGCAAGATCACACACACAGGAGAAGCGATAATTTTGACGTTGCAGGAAGCACCGATGAAGCTGTTTTATCGCGTGGTGCGCAAGGAGGACGTTGTCGCTTCCGCATCGAGCGTGAGTTCGTTCAACGACGAGGCAGCCAAGGATACCGCGACGATGGAGGAGAATATTCAGAGGCCGCCGACACCGCCGCCAAGTCCCAAGCCGGCACCGCCTCCAGAATGCGAGGTCGAGGCTCGTAGGATCTTAGAGGGCAACGTCGAACCACCTCCTCAATCCTCGCTGAAGACCAACCTGGAGGGCGACAAGGAGCCGAAAGCGAAGAAGCCCAGGTGCAAAGTGACGCCGGTCATGAGGACGCCGAATCTCGTGCCGATACAGACCAATCACGCGGCTGCCGAGAGCTCGAAGGCCAAGGAGCTGACACCGCAAAAGCTCGAACACCACAAGCACAAGAAGCGACGGAACAAGCGCGTGATCGCCGAGATCACCACCACGCCGCGGGAGGATCTGTTGAAGCTGAAGGTTCGACTGACACCGTGTCCACCGCGGATCACGTCGAGCAGCGCGAGCGGCCAGGCAAAGGAGAAACTGCTGCAGATGAGAGCCGTGAGAAGAGAGAAGATCACAGCTACGACGACGATAAGTCAGCAACGATCGACGGACGCGTTGGTCCGAGAGGAGGGAATTGCCGCTACGAAGGAGAACCTCAGCGAGACGGAGGAGACGATAGAGGAGATCATAGACAGCATACCGGACGAGGTTGTCCGAATCGCGCAAAATATAACCGCTCCGGCGGAAGATGCGCCCGCAACGGCAGACAAAACGAATCAGAGGAACGTACCGCAGAATTGTACAACGTCGCCAAAGAAGGAAGAAACGGAGCCAGCGGAGGCGGCGGAAAGAGCGGAGCAACCGGAACCGGAACGTCCGAAGAAAGACGAGGAGATCCTTCGGAGATTGGGCCTGGTGGCCGTGAACGAGGCCAGCGACAACTTCCGCGATAAGACGAAGCAACGGGCGCAGAACAACGGGGAGAAGATCGACAACTTGGACAGGGAGAAACTGGAGAAACAGTTGCGCGAGAGTAAAGCGAATCGCGTGAGGAGCTTGCTGGCGGAGAAACAGATGCGCGACGCGTTGAAGACGATGTCGAAGACGAAAGAAGAGCACCCCGCCGCGACGCCCGTTCAGGTCAGCACACCCCCGAAAAAGAAAGGGCCGCCGCCGTTGACGCCGCTACGCGTTGCCAAGTCTTCCGGTTTCGCAGCGTCGACCGCCATTTTGGAACCGAAAAATTCCAAATACGAGATCCCGCTAGACCTGAGCAGCGGAGGAACGGTACGTAACAACGTCCGCGATCTCTCTGCCGGTCTACCGACCAATTTCTCCTCCTCGTCCTCGTCTTCTGCCTCTTCGTCGTCCTCATCATCATCCTCTTCGTCGTCGTCCTCCTCGCCCTGTTCCGTGCCCTTGTTGAACCCGAGGCCAACGTCGCGACCAACGATCCCGATGATCAGCATATTGAAAGCAAAAACGAAAGGCTTGGAACAACGACGCGGTCAGGATTCCAATCTAATGACACTTTCTGACGCGGCTGTGTCCCTGTTAAGCGGCTGCATCGCCGACGAGAATTCGGTCGATCCTTTGGTACTCAGCTCGACCGGTCTCGCGAACAAAGTCGCCCTACGGATACCGCAACCCCATCAGAGGATCTCCAGCTTCGGGATGAAGATCAAACCGAACTTGAGCATCAGGCACATACCGAATCCTCAGGCCGTGGTCGCGTCCCAATACAGGAATCAAAGAGTCAGTTACTTCAACAACGCCTCGCAACAACCACCGTAAATGTCGCCTATTCCACGTATTCCTCTTTCGACTCTGCGTACACTCGATTCTCCTGTATCCTCCATTCTTTCCTCTGCTACTTCCTATTACTTACTAAAGAGAAAAAAAAAAAAGAAAAATGTTTTCCTACGGAAACAAAGATTCCTACGTGACCAATATCCAAAGGCTGTACGTTACCATATATATATATATATATATTTCCTCCCGCTTCCTACAACGAGTTTCGTATGAAACGCGACGACGAGTTGCGCGTGGGCGTGAAGACACACGGTACACACGGTAGCATAAACTAGAACAAGCCGACTTCGGAGGTGAAAGTGGAAGAATGATTGCGACGTTCAAT